ACGACCATATTTCAGGTGTTTATCGGAGCAGCACCCCCCTCTTTGTGCCAATTCTGCCTCAGGCTTCTACTGCTGCCCTCACGGAAACACCAGCAATGAGTGACCTTCAACAACAGAAATGTATTTTCTCACCATTCTGGAGACTAGGCCAAATCAGGTTCTCAATCTTTTGGACCAAGGGACATTACCTAGTAGGTAACAAGACACCCTACAGAATGGGAGAAAATATTTGGAAATCATACATCACATAAAGGTTCAATATCCAAGGAGCAGGACCCACTGAGAGGGGGCCAGCCGTGGGCCTTAGGCCGCTCCGACAGAGTCAGGCACCCCCTCTGGGCCTTGGCCCCCAATTCCAGAGCTGTGTATCTAAGACAGTGCGACAGACCTGCAGCCGCCTGGACCCATGAGCCCGTGTGGCCCTCTGCACGGAGTATCGGCCACCAAGGGGCCCAAACCCACCTCGGTACTTCCGCACAACGCCCCCAGGCAGCCGGGCAGCCACGCCATCTTGTGGCCCCTGGTTTCTGAGCCCTGAGGCCCCTATTTGGTTGGCTGAGGCAGAGGTTGGCAGGAAGGGGCCCCCCTCTGCCCCTCTCCAGCCAAGGTCAGCTGTTCCCTCCCTCAGCCGTTCCTCCTCGGCCTCACAGTCAGTAAGCTACAGCCCTGGGGTCTCTTCACGCAGGCTCCGCCCCCTCAGTCCCTGGCCCCGCCCCCTCAACTTCACTACAGTCTTGGGGGTCCCATACCTCAAGCTCCGCCCCTCCTGACCCACTATGGCCCTTCCCCCTCACTCCCTGGCCCCACTCCTTGACTCCACTACAGTCTTGGGGTCCCATCACAGAGGCCCCTCCCTCTCGGCTCCACTACAGCCCTGGGGTTCCTACACTCGGGCCCAGTCTCTCCTGCCCCACTGTGGCCCCGCCCCCTCAGTCTCTGGCCCCGCCCCCTAGACTCCACCTCAGCCCTGGGGTCCCATCGCCCAGGCCCCGCCCCTCCCGCCTACTATGGCCCCGCCTCCTCCACAGCGCAAGCGGGAGAGGGCCTCACCGCACAGAGTGCCGTGCCGAGCGGAGCGGACCGGTCTGGGGCCACGGGCGACTACCATTCTCCAATGACGGCCTCCACTGCCGGCCCCCAGTCCCGGCCTCGTCCCCCCTCTAACCACCAGGGCCCATGGCCACCTACCCCCTTCCCAGCTCCCAGAACAGGCACAGGGAAGGAGCAGACAGATCCAGAGGCCTGCCCCCAGGAGCGCAGGCGGGGCTGGGGGCACCCACGCTGGCGACGGCAGCTGCCAGGTGACGGTGCAGTGCGTCAGGGGGCGGCCGGGAGCCCCTGCCCTGGGGGTGCACTGGGAGCTGGCGCCTCCTTCCCCCTGCAGTCCTTGGGGGCGGTGGGGCAGAGGCTCTGGGAGGAGCCGTCACACCGAGGCCATAGAGAGCCGTGACTGCGTGCCTTCCAGCCAGGGTCTTTCCGCCCCGAGTCACCGGGGTTCGTGCTCTGGCCTGGAGCAAGCAGGAAGGGGACCTCCCGGGCAGAGAGAGGACCTGGGGGGCTATGCTTCCTCACCCAGGGCCATCACCTGGGATCCTCCACTCGGATGGGTTTGGATCCAGGGATTTAAATACTGCGACCCGGCCCGAGGCCCCAGAAACTGATTTCACTGGGATGGCGGAGCTCGGCGGTCCAGCAAAGTTTGCCATCCGCTGCCTACCCGGTCCCTTCTTCCTTATCTTATCCAGGGTAGGGGGCACCTTCACACCTGTCGCGAGCTGCAGGGGCAGGGCCTGCAGGCCTCGAACCCCGCGGCCCCTGGCAGTACAGGCCCGCTGCAGACACTGTTTACGGCTCTTCAGTCCGGGACGGGACAGGAAGTGTCCGGCGGAGGTGGGGGTGGCAGTGATTGGCAGTTCACAGCTCCAATGGGCCGGGAGCCCCCCTATTTCACCCTTCTCGCTCCATTGGCGCCTGGGCGGAGCCGCCCCCACTGCGGGAGCCGAGGGGCCCGGGGCGGGAGGGAGTAGAGGCCCGGGCAGAGGGCGAGGGCGGAGGGTGCCGGCGGCCGTGGCCGCGGAAGGTGAGGCCTGGCGGGGCCGGCGGGTGCAGACGCGCAAGCCTGGCCCGGAGGGGGCGGGCCGGAGCGGTGGACGGAGCTGCAAGGCCTGGGGTGGCTGTCAGCGTGTGTGCGCTCGGAGGCTGCATCTGCGTGACTGTCCCTTGGTGCAGCTGTCAGCTAGTGTGGACGTGGGTCCGTGGGCCTGGCTGCTCAAGGGCGGGACTGTACGTGTCTGTCCGTGAGCAGCTTTGCTGAGAGTTGGGGCAGCGTGTTTGTGCGCGGCGGGCCCCGTGACCGCATCACCGTGTGTCTGGGAAGGTCTCTGGTTTTCAGACTGTCTGCCCGCTGAGTGGGTGGCGGGGCTCGTGCGCGCGGAGTGACTCCAGGAGCAGCAGACGAGAGTAAATCTTGTGACTTGTCTCCTGGGCCCTAACTCTCCGACTGCGTGGGCGCCTAGCTGTGTTCACACTCCGGGGATAACGCCGACAGCCAAGGGCACTGCCCTCTCTGCTCGGTGTCCAGCATCCGTGGCCCAGCCCCAGCACACTTGGCTTCTCTGCCTTGGTCTGTCTCTGCCCCTCTGTGTCCCTCTGGTTCTCTGTCCCTCAGTGCCCCTGTCCCTCACTCCCCTACTTCCCTGGCTCTTTGGTTCCCTGGGGGTCCCAACAGCGTGAGCTGGGGATCTATACTGCCAAGAGCGTCCTGGAGGAGGGGCTTAAACCTGGGTGAGGTGTAGCTTTTAGGGAGTGCAGTGACCATCGTGGGGGCCGAGAGCTCGGTGTGTGTGGGTGGCTTTGTGAGGGACAGTACGGTGTGTCTACCTGTCTGGGAGCGTACGGGTACCAGTAAGCATGTGAGTGTGTTGGTGTGGCTCTGAGGAGCTGATCAGGGGGTGTCTGAGAGTGAGTGTAACCTTTTTGTATCTGGCACCAAGGCACCGAAGGCATTTCCTGGTACCGAGGCCCAAAGAGTGCAGGGGGAGGTGGGGGATGGCTGGAACTTCCAGGGGAGGGGAAGCTGGCCTCTGGTCTCTCCTCACAGTTCCCAGCCTGCCCCCCCCCCGCCACCGTGCTGCCAGCTGGGCCCTGGGGAGTGAACAGTGCCCCTTAATCTTCCCACGTGCTTTCAAGAGCGTGTCTTTGTCGGCGTGCCTCAGTGGCACCAGCGTGACTGGGGCCGTGTCAGGCTGTGTACAAACTCCGGGAGTCTCTCCCTAACGGACATCAGCTCCCCCCTTCCCTCTTGCTGGTCCTGGCAGCTCTGTGGCTTCATTGGGAGCCTAGGGGCAGGCCTCTTACCTTCCCTGGGCCTGGAGCGGGAGGGGAGGAGGAGGGAGGAGGGAGAAGGGAGGGGGCCTGGCTAGGGGGGTGGCTGAGCTGGGGCCCAGAGGGGCGGGGCGGGGGAAAGGGACGGTTCTGGGGTCCCAGAGCTGAGGCAGCTGAGGCCTGGGTGCTGGTGGGAGGAGGTCCTGGAGGCCATGGGCACTCAGTCACTGGTATCACCGAGGCAGGGCGGGGTTGCTCAGGGTGCATGTGGCTGGGGGGGCACCACGGGGGAGCCACTAGACACACTCAGACAGACACACAGACACACGGAGGCTGGATTCTGCCCCGCTTGGGAGGGCCATGCTCTTCCCCCTAGGCCCAGAGCCCTTTGCTCCTGTCCTGATGTCCGCTTCCTGGCTCCTACTTTCCAGGGCTCAGAATCCCTCTTTCCCAGGAGCCCCTGTCCCTGACCGTTACTGGTCTCTGTCTGAGTTCCTGTGGTCCCCAGCCGGGCCCTCACCCGCTGAACCCTACTGGGTGCCCGCATCTGAGTGTTTCTGGATCTGTGGCCCCTGCCCCGCTCCTGTCCTCCCCTCCCCACCCCGCCATCCTGTCTCCGTCTGCTGGCTCCTCTCCCGCCCCCCGCCTCTGGCAGCGACCAGGGCATCTGGATCTACTTAACATCAGCCTGATTCTGCACCCCAGCCTCATCTAGCCTCACAGGCTCGGGACCAACCAGGGTTCAGAGCCAGGCCCAGTGGAGTGGCTCGGGGAGCCGAGCAGGGAGTCCGGCCCAGGCCACAGCAGCCAGGAGTGGGCTAGGCCTCATGGCACAAGCACAGAGCGGGCCCGGGTTCACGCGACACCCTCTGCCCAAGGGTGGTGAGGGCTGCCGGGCAGTCGGAGGCAGGGAGCAGCCCTGGGTCAGGTGGGGGTGGACATCAGGATTCCCAGAGCTGGATAGGAGGGGTTAACAGGGGTGGTCAAGCGAGTGCCAGCACTCAGAGCCATGGGTGGGTGCCAAGGGCTGGGGGGGCGCTGGCACAGTCCGTTGCCTCCGGCTTTTGTTCTGAGTCCAAAGCCCAGGCCTGAGATGGAGGGTGTGTGTGGGTGGGTGTGTGCGTGTGTGGTATGTGCGCCTAAGTCCAGGCCTGAGACAGAGTGGGTGTGGGTGTGGGTGTGGGTGTATGTGTGTGCCCAGGCCCAGGCCCGAGATGGAGTGTGTGTGTGTGTGCGTGTCTGTGTGTCTGTGTGCCTAAGCCCAGGCCCGAGATGGTGTGTGTGTGTGTGTGTGTGTGTGTGTGCGCGTGCATGCTTATCAGATCTGGACTCAGGGTCACCTTGGCCGATGATTTCTGGTCTCCTTACCCCTTGAGGCCTCCATCTTTCTCTGCCAAACCAAACCAAACTCACTGCCATCAAGTCAGTTCTGACTCACAGTGACCTCTTGGGGTTTCCAAGGTGGTAAATCTTTATGAGAACAGATGGCCCCATCTTCCTCCATGGAGCGGCCGGTGGGCTTGAACCACTTACCTGGTTAGCAGCCAAATGCCTTAGGCACCATGCCACCAGAGTGCCTTTTTCTCCTCCTCAAAGCCCCAACTTTGAGAGGAAGCAGCGGGCTGCAGGCGTCCATCTGAGGGTCAGCCACTCCGACCCCACCTCTCTCCCCACAGATGAGCAGCTGCTGCCCAGGGCTGGGCAGGCTCCTGGTGGCCGTGGCTACAGCCCTGGGATCTGTCTCTTCCCCTTGCCCCCAGGCCTGGGGCCCCCCAGGTGAGAGGAGCCCTGCTCTATGACCCCAACCCTGATTGTGACCTGCCACCTGCACTGTGGCCCTTCCCGTGCCCCACTGTGGCCCCAGCCCCTGGTGTCTAACCAGGGGCCTGTCTCTAACCCCTCTCTCCTGGTTATAACCTGAGGCATTGCTTTAATGACCTCCTCGGCCTCAAAAGTCCACCCCGTCCCCTGTCACCCTCACAAAGTGTGTGTGGGAAGAGTCACCTCAGAAATGCCTTCCACAGGAGCCCAGTACGGGCAGCTTGGCAGGTCTGTGGCGCTGTGCTGCCCGGGAGTGGCCGCTGGGTAAGAGCCCTTCCTGAGTGTGGGTCTGCCCTTGCTCATTCTCACAGCCCCTCCCATCCTGTCCCCTCTGTCCATCCTCCTCACTCCTCCATCTTAGCCTAACCTTCTCCCTCCTTTGCTCAAGAGAACAGTCCACCTGCATGCACTGAGCATCTGCTAAGTGCCTGGGGACACGGCTATGCCCACACCAGGCAAGGCCCCTGCCCCCATAGCCTAGTGAGGAAGACAGGTGGTGAACACACAGGAATGATGTCTGCCAGTGACGTGCCCCAGACAGAAAGCAAGAGTGGGATGTGGCCCTGGGTGGCTGAGGGTACCTCTTCCTGGTGACCAGGGTGGACTCTGAGGAGGTGAGACTGAAACTGGGGCCTGAAGGTCAGGAGAGGGGGGCCGTGCAAACCCCAGCAGGAGTGTGCTCAGCACTGCCCAGGAGCAGGGCCAAGGTGGCAGTGCGGGGGGCGGGGAGCGGTGAAGGAAGGTGGGACTGGATCTCAGGGAGCTTAGAAAGCCACGGAAGGAGTTTGGATTTTACAGAAAATGCAGTGAGAACCATGGCATGTCTGTCTTACACTTTAAATCTTCCATCTGTCCATCCTCAAGGAGCCCTGGTGGTGCAGGGATAAATGCATGGCTGGTAACCAAAAAGGTCAGAGGTTCAAACCCACCAGCTGCTCCGTGGGAGAAAGATGTGGCAGTGGGCTTCTGTAAAGATGACAGCCTTGCAAACCCTCAGGGGCAGTTCCACTCTGTCCTCTAGGGGCGCTGTGGGTCGGAATCGACTCCATGGCAGTGGGTGTGGTTTGGGCTTTGCTTCTGTGAAGACTGACAGCCTTGGAGACCCTGTGGGCAGTTCCACTCTGTCCTCTAGG